CCACCTTAAGAAATAGTCTGGTGGTTCCACAGCTTTCCATCAGCCCCCCCAGACTCATCCTCATCCAGCTGAGAGGAAAGGTGGGTCTGCTGGAGCCATCCCTGGGAAGAGGAGCCACGAGGTGTGTGTTTGTGGTCAGTGAGCACGGAAAGGACACTTAATAGCTGTGCAGGAGGAAATGCACATCCTGGGAAGGGCAGAAAGCTGGAGCCAGGGGGGTGGCTCTGAACACGCTTTGTGGGAACCTGAACCAGAAGCTTCTCTGGTAACCAATTTGCACTGGTGTGGTTCCTGCCCCCTTCCCGAAGGCAGAAGGAGCCCGGGGCTGACTAAGCACCAGGAGCCGAGGCAGAGCAAGCAGTGCTGCAGCCCCCTCTGCCTCCCCTCCCGCGGCAGGAGCAGGGAAGCCTGCCTGGAACGGGGCTTTGGGCGTTCCTGGGACTTCAGAACGTGTCTGAAATGTCTAGCTAGGCTGAAAACTTCAGCTCGTTACAGCCCATGGGGCAGCTGTCCTGGCAAACATGAGCGAGGGCTGCCCTCCCCTGTCTTCTTGTAGCTGAGACAGTCTTCTGAGTCCTTGCCCTCTGCCAAGGGGCATTTGCTCTCTGGCCCCTGCTGAGACCTCTCTGCCTTTCCTCACTCCATCTCCTGCTCTTGCAGCTGTCCAGTCCAGCAGCTCAGCCTTCCCAGCTCCTTCAGTGCCTCTCTGAGCACCAAGAGTGCATGGCAGAGGTCAGGCTCTGCTGTCTGGACAACCAGCTGTTATGGACTGTTATGGCAAGAATGAATGATGAGGTTGAGCCTGCTAGGGTGCCAGGCCAGGGTAGCCAGCCATGGCTATCAGGGCTTCCTCCTTCCACACAGAGCCCTTCTTCCCCCTGCAGTGGGGCTTTCAGCAAGGGAGATGGGGATGATGGAGAGCTGCTGCTGACGTTGCCATTCAAGCTCTTCCCAGGCTTCCTGAGGACAGTCTTGTCTCTTTAAGGTTCATTTTTTTATTGTATTTTGCTGTCTGCTTCCAGTATTTTCCCCTGGTATTCCAGAATTTCCATGCTCCTGAGCTCTCAGTAGCACAAACCACTCTGCACTGTGTAGCTCAGTTCTTTTTGCACCTTTCAACACTCGTTACAGACCTCTGCCAAGAAACCTGATAATTTGTTTTCCCATTTAAGGGGAAGGATTTTAGACTACAAAAGAAAAATCGCTGTTGTACCTAAAGAACACTCTAGGCTGGAAAGAAAATCCCTGGAAACTAAGGGAATCCTTAAAGGGACATAATAGGAAACACTCTGTAAGGCAGACAGCTTATTGTGTGTGACTGACTTCCCCGCTCATGAGAACAAGTACAAGGCCCTTGGGCTGCAAGAACAATACGAGTTACTGTCACATTTTACAGCTCATTTTAGAATATGAAACCCAGCATCCCCTCAGCATCAGGAACCAGCCAAAACTCGTGGGCCACCAAAGCTGCTGTGCCCATCTCTGCTGGAAACCCATTGTTCTACATACCATTGCTGTGACGGGCTGAGCGCTTGGTCAGGGGCCAGGAGCCTTCTGTTGCTCACAGCCCTTTGTTCTGTGACCAGTAAAATAATGTAAATCAGCCTCCCCTCTTGCCTTGCAGGATGGACAGGAAGATGCCAGACTGTTGTATAGGCGTGGGTGTTGTGAGATGTGATACTTTTCCTTATGCAGGCAGAGGAGTCACTGCAGATCAGCAGAGGGATAATTTCACATTTAGGCTCAGGCTGTTTCCCTGTTGTCTTGTAGCTCAGCAAACACTGTCTTACAGACCTTTTCTGCCTGGCAGGTGAAATACAGGTATGTATATATCACTGCCTGCAACTCGAGAACATATATTTGCTGTATTCTGCACATTTCCTCCAGAGTGCTTGAGGTTTAAGGTGTTTCCTTGTCAACAACTGCTGTCTAACTCCTCTCCAATAACTGGAGAGGGGCAGGGTTTGCCATGGGCTGTGTTCATGCATTCAGCTGGCTCCATAGGCTGTGGAAATAACAAACCATAAATTGAGTTTGCAGAACCTCAGGGTACAAAAACATCAACTAAAAGAAATATCTAAACAAAGAGTGAGTTAGATAACCTTGGAGAAGAGTGAGCAGGCTGCACAATTCTGCATCCTTGGGCCTGCACTGCCTCTTGCTGACAAACTCTCCATTGTGGGACAAGAGGTGCTGCTGGAAATAGAAGTCCTGGGGGTGGAAATATGCTCTCTGCTCCCCAGACTCCTGGATCACTCCAGGCATAGCCAGTAGGAGGGTCTGTCCTAGGGCTGGCTCCTTCTTGCAGCTTCTACCTGAGAACTGAGTATAATTTTTCATCTCTGGAGGGTGGGTGTGGGTGGAAGGATAAGCATGCAGCAGTGGAGAAGTCTGTGTTTCCATACTGCCCCTTCCCTGTGCCCACTCCATGGCTGATGCTCCAGCCTCTTGCCAGAACACATGGATGGCATTAGCAGGGTAGCAGCAGTGATGCAGGAAGATACAAATGCCCCACTAATAAACCCAAGTTGCCTCCATCCCACTGATACAAGGTCCAAGGGCCGTGGCCAGTCAGTGCAAGCGGGCTAAGGAGCATGGCTGCATTCCTCTGCTACACCAGCCTAAGCAGGTAAAGTGCATTAAGTGTTGCTAACACACCCATTAAATGCTGCTAATGGAGCTCCAGGTGAGGCTCATTTTCTCTGTCTGGAGTGAAGTAGGACCAGGTGGCAGAGGGATCCTTTGAATGCTGTGCTGTTGCTGGGCGAGTTACTCTCCTCTCCATTTCTGCCATGATTTCAGGTTAGTAAATGTTATTTTTTAATTACATTTACAGTCCTAACCATCAGCAGAGATTCCTCCCGCGTGTATTTGCCAGCACAGGCAGCCACCCTGAGGACAGCCCCTTTCCCTTGCCGAGGGCCCGTTTTGCTCCTGGCACAGCAAGGAGCTCAGCAGCTCCTGGCTCGGCAGCAGGGCCTGGGAAGCAATAGGGCCCTGCTGGGCGCAGCAGCGCTCTCTGCTCATCGTTCCTCCTGGCATCAATCCCCGCTCCTGTTTCCACGGGCGATATCACCGGGAGCCGGATGGGAATAGCCCCATCCTCCCCAGGAGGGGTGCTGAGCCTCTCCC